AAGAGAAGGTGTATAGCAATACACAAATGAGCAATTTACCATATAATTTCCATTGTTTGGGAGGTGAACTAGTTTTTATATTGAAGCCAACAAAGGTGCAAAATAGCCTCTAAATAAAGGTCAAAAGCTATTTCCCAAAGCGTCCACTTTTTGAAGATTGAACCGTATTTTAGCTAGGTCATATTAACCTAAACAAATTTACAATGTATATAACAAGATAAATTTGTGGCTCAAAACTTCCGTAAATTTAAGTGATGTTTTTACTGTTTTCACAAAATTAATAATTAAGTAAGTAAAAATAGAATCTCCATTATAACAGGTACATGTAGTAGTTTATTCAATAGTTTAAATTCCAGTTCCTATTAAACATGTACATACAGTCAAGTAAAATGTCAAAGATGTTCATCTTTATGTTGTTGTTGCTGTGTTTAATAGTTACCATTGATGAAGGAGAAGAATCTTACTGTATGGCTGATTGTACTGGATATAAACATGAACAATCACTGTATATAAGGACATGCTGTAACAGCAGTAACTTAGGACAGACTATTTATATGAGAGAAGGAAGAGTGAAGACTATCATGGTATGTCCTGATGTAAAGCCACAAACCTGTCCACCACCAATAGGTAAATAAAGACACGATAATAATTATTTCAAAACTAAATTCAGTTCTTACAGACTGTAAGGATTGGTATAACAATGGTAGCACTATACTAGTGGTCTGTATAATATTAATTTGAAATTAGTTACTAAATAATATAAACGATATACTATTGGGTCACAGGTGTACTATGATATTGAGACTGATGGTGGTGGATGGACTGTATTTCAGAGGAGACAAGATGGATCTGTTGATTTCTATAGATACTGGACTGACTATGAGAATGGATTTGGTGACCTTAATGCTGAGTTTTTGGTTAGGATTGAGCAAGATTCATTGCCTTACTAAAGAAGGATCAAACACACTAAGAGTGGACCTGGGAGACTTTGAGGGAACACAGCTTATACTAACTACTCTACATTCAGTGTTAGTGATGGTAGTATTGAATATATACTAACAGTAGGAGGATACTCTGGTCCAGTATCATAATGGAATGAGATTCACTACAAGAGATAATGATGATAATGACTGGTCATGCAGGAGGTAACTATGGAGGTAACTTCAACACTGGTGCCTGGTGGTATAATGCCTGCACTCATTCAAGTCTTAATAGTCGTTATTATAATACTACAACTAGTAATAGTGGAGCAATTGTTTGGAAAAGTTGGAAAGGAACTACTCTCAAGTTCTCAGAGATAAAAACTCATTGTAACAATTAAATATTGTCCCCCACACACATAAGTGTGTTTACAATGTGCTGATATATTATTATGACGTTTCAATATTACAGTCTGTCATACCTTTTAGTGATTATTAATAACTGTGGGTGGGTAACAGGAAACTATTATTAATTCATTATGAAATTGAACATGTACATATGGTTCAAAATGGTGGGTTTAATTTTGGCAAATGCCTATCATATTTAAATGCCCAATTTGTCAAAATTTACTGCCTGCAAAATTACCAAATTTACCCAAAATTCTAATGATGAAATAGGAAAATACCATATTTTGGTGAATTGCTAAATAATTTCTAGTGATTGTGGGGTTCTAAGGAATCAGTTAAGAGTCTAATGAGGAGAGCAATGGTCATTGTGGTCAATGCATTCTTATTCACTGGATACCAAAATATATTTTATAACTACACAAATGTAAAACATTAGTTCTCCAACCCGCAGCTACACTATCATCAAGATGAGATCATTTAACTTTAAAAATAGTTAGACGATCCTATACTGCCAGTACATACTGAATCACTTCATCAGTATAGGGCTTCACCTAATCAACAGTAATTAACAGTAATAGAAGCTGTAAATTCCAGTGGGCTACACTCCAATTATTTTAAATGAAGATAAAACTTGAGACATAAACAGTAATAGGTAGCTATAAATTCCAGTCCATGTTCAACTCACGTACTCTACTCCTCTTAAAGGGGCTGCACTCCAATTATTTCATATTATGACATTATTTGGGAAATAGGTAGCTTTGAATTTCCATCCTTGTCAAGCTCACGACAGTCTATTAAAATGTCAAGGATGTTCATCTTTATGTTGTTGTTGCTGTGTTTAATAGTTACCATTGATGAAGGAGAAGGATCTTATTGTATGGCTGACTGTACTGGATATAACCATGAACTATCACTGTATCTAAGGACATGCTGTATCATTAGTAACTTAGGATGGGCTTTTTCTATCAAAGAAACTGGTATAAAACAACATATTTTCTGTCCTAATGTATACCCAAAGTCTTGTCAAAAAGGTACTGCAATAATAGTACAAGTGTTTAATTCATGTAATATAGGCAAGGATTGTAAGAGCTTGTTTGAGGATAGTGTTACTACAAGTGGTGTTTATACTGTTAATCCTGATGGAGGGACTCCATTTAAAGTTAGTTAAAAGTAATTTATAACTATACACTATTGGATCACAGGTATACTGTGATATGGATACTGATGGTGGTGGATGGACTGTATTTCAGAGGAGACAAGATGGATCTGTTGATTTCTATAGGAACTGGACTGACTATGAGAATGGATTTGGTAACCTTACTGGTGAGTTTT